TACTCTAAACCAGAGATTTTTGTTCTTGTTACATGACTAACTTCTCAAGAAAACCCCAAATGATTCATTAATTATGTCGAAATGAGATTTGAAATTTTGTCCGTGGTTAGTAAAAAATATACTCCTATGAAACCACCAGGTTGCATAGCACATCTCATATTTCCAAAATTTTAAATAAATTAAAGTTAACAAAAATATATTTATTACTCCAAATATATTTTCGATAGTCGTAAATATTGACCCTGTTTTTGTTCTCATTTCCAACCAAGAAGGTCGAAAATAAAAAAGTATTTGATTAGTTTCTTTAGCCTTCTCATAAATTGTTCTTTCAAAGAGTTCCATCTAAATTCTTTTACCCTAGATAAAAGGATTCATTTTTTTTTTGGGAAAACAGATAAAAGGATTCATATGATTCGAAACAAGTGATTTCGAATTGGGAAGAAATTTAGTTTACATCAATGGACAATATTATAAATTTACACATTAACTCTTTACAAAAATATATTTGTTAAAAATAACTCGCATGTATAATCTTTAAAGAATATGTCTCTTTYTTAAGATAATTCAATTCATAATCAAATCATATATATGATAAATTCTAAGTTTTTTTTTCGGTTACAAAAACATATATAACCAAATGACTATTCCGATTTACTTTAACCAAACTATTAAACCTTTTCCAAACTTTAAAATTCTGAAAAAACTATTTTAAAAGTAACATAAATAAAAATCATCCAAAAAATATTCTTGCGTGTACAGGCCGGTGTTCACCTAGTCCCATTAATTAAAGACTGCAACTTGGTTAGAATAATGACCAATAAGTGATTAATTATGAGGTGTAACAAAAACACAGATTAATTCGTAATTCTGGTTTTTAAGATTAAAAACATATTATAGGATGACAATAGATTACTGTAGCTTTGATTTCATAAGTATTACTTTGAAGAATATGTTTTTTTATATGTAATCAAAGAAACATAAAGAAAAAGTTCATCCCTGGTTTCGTCCACAACAACAAAGTTCAGCAATACAATATCCATCCACGTAGCCATATGCCGTACATTCCTTATTGCATCTGTGAGGTCCAAAAGGTCCTTTTTCACTCGTACATGGATTAAAACATTGATATATCTTTGATATTTTTACTTCTGCACATAAACACATACATTAATCTAAAAGTCATTATGTATCTATAGTGAAATAACAAATTTAAAAATCAATATTCATGG